GTCTGGGTTAGCGGAACAAGCTGTGTGGTTAAGTGCTTCGCAAGCCCAGTGCATGGCCTCAGCCCAGAGTCTGTCAGTCTTAGGTAACTGCACATGCCCAAACAAAACCTTCGCCTGAATACGAGCCGCCATTGCAGCTGCCTCAATCAATCCCAAACCACGCTCTGCAACATCGTTGTATTGTGGACTGTGAGCCGGGGTGAACTCTTGCTTTATCAAGAGCTCATTGCACACGGACGCAAATTCCCCTTCGAAAAACTCCCCCCCATTGTCAGATCTACCAATCTCAACCAATGATGGTCGGTTTTCATCAGCATGCACACTAGCAAGGAAACTTCTGAAAGCACCCCCAGCGTCTGATTTATTTCTCAGGACATACAGCCATGTACGTCTAGTGACATCATCCTTTACGGNGAGCCGCCATTGCAGCTGCCTCAATCAATCCCAAACCACGCTCTGCAACATCGTTGTATTGTGGACTGTGAGCCGGGGTGAACTCTTGCTTTATCAAGAGCTCATTGCACACGGACGCAAATTCCCCTTCGAAAAACTCCCCCCCATTGTCAGATCTACCAATCTCAACCAATGATGGTCGGTTTTCATCAGCATGCACACTAGCAAGGAAACTTCTGAAAGCACCCCCAGCGTCTGATTTATTTCTCAGGACATACAGCCATGTACGTCTAGTGACATCATCCTTTACGGTCATGGGGTAATGTTTACCCCCTACGGACGCAACGTCCTTCCGTCCTCCCAAATCAACAAAACCTCTGCCCAACTTATTGTCTGATCTGCGTTTAGTTTCACGAGCAATGAATGCCTCCGACATCGAACATCCCGTACACGCATGAATTTCATCAGTCAACTCAATACCCAGTGGCTTTGCAGTTGTTCGAAGCAATCCGTCATGTGAATGACCATAAACGTTATGAAACTCGTTCACATCCATCTTCGTTGCTTTGGGGTCTGGAGGGGTGAAGGCAGCAAACAACGAACCAACACATTCATCACCCAGACGATACACAGTAGCAACAACCATGCAATCGAAGTTCTGAAATTAATTGTTCCGTCGAAAGCAGCCATCACACCATCAAGACCACCGAGGCTATTTCATAACATGCCATCAAACGCTGCGCTGGGAGAAAAGAGGTTGCACAAACCTTCTCCAACTCTACCGAACGCGCTGTCGGCAATCACAAACACTTCCTCCAGGGTTCCAGACAGTCTACTTCAGAAGTCACGCCATCAATCCCTCATGCGTTCTAATACCAAGACTTCACATCGTTAATGCTAGAGAGAGAGTCTGTCATGTGGAAAGCAGTAACCGTGTCTGCTACGCCATTCTTCGACACATCTGTACTTCATCACAAGAATAAAAGTATTTGCGAACATCATCATCACTTGACAAGCACTCGAGCAGCATAACTTCGTAATACGCTACCAGACATGTTAGATCGTGCGAGTTATTCAATCTGGTTTGAGAAAATAGCACCATGTCAAACTTCTCACCGTCCTCTTTTCTGCCTGGCGCAGCATATCCACACTGAATCCTTGCTGTACCGAGGGGGTCAAGTCGAATTCAAAGCTTGCAATCGGAATGTCATGTGTAGACACACACAACGCTTCAAATAGACTATTGTGGAAAGCACCCAGCAGAAAGTTCTGCGAGCACGGTGGATACGAGACAACATCAGTCCCGTCAAAAACAACAGGAGCTATGGGAACTTTATGGGGGCACCTACCCAACTTTTCTCCTGTGTCTGATATGCCGGCCCCAGGGATCAGTGTGTTCCCACTGGCGGCTTGTCCTCACCACTCACTCGATGGAGCAGACGGGGGCGGAATGAAAGACTGGCTACCTGGTGCCCCACTCCCAATTCCGATCGAACCAAAGTTTGCGACACCATCAGAGGAACGATTTGCTGTAGATACATCAGGGTTCAAGCCTGAGCCTAAGAGACCACTACTACCAACCCGATCAACATCAGTTGCACTAGGGTTCAAGCCTGAGCCTGTGCCTGCAGGACTACCACTCCCAACCCCAACGCTGGACATGCCAAGGGCTGGGGCATCGCCGCCCGTACCTCCCGCAGTCCCACTAGTTGCATCCGATTGATGCGCACCAGCCCCGTACTCTGTTCCGCCGCTTCCCGGCGCAGCCGCACCAAAAGAGGACCCCACCTGATCACCTCGTTGTCCAACAAGCGACTTGATTATGCTCGTGAGCTGGGACAACTGTGTCTCAATCGAATCCAATCTCTCGCCACCAACACCCTGCGAATCACCCGGAGATTGGTCATCCACATGATCCCCATCAGGCCCACTCATCACGAATCAAGGTGATCAATCTTGCTCCGTGCAGTCTTGACGTGATAGATGCCATATGGGTCTACAAATGGAAAGCAGACGAAACAGGCAAGATAGTGAAGGCCAAGGCTAGGCTTGTAGCGAAGGGCTTCAAGCAGAAGCATGGTGTGGATTATCTTGAGGCTTTCTCGCCTACTGCAAAGACTGCATCGATTCGTTTGCTGGTAGCATTGGCGTGCAAGTACATATTTGGAATTACTCCACTTTGACATTGAGCAAACGTTTGTTCAGTCGGAATTGGATCATGAGGTGTTCATGAAGCTGCCTCCTGGCTGCGAGTCAATGTCAGGAAAGGCCGTCCGTTTAGACAAGAGCTTGTATGNCGAAACAGGCAAGATAGTGAATGCCAAGGCTAGGCTTGTAGCGAAGGGCTTCAAGCAGAAGCATGGTGTGGATTATCTTGAGGCTTTCTCGCCTACTGCAAAGGCTGCATCGATTCGTTTGCTGGTAGCATTGGCGTGCAAGTACATATTTGGAATTACTCCACTTTGACATTGAGCAAACGTTTGTTCAGTCGGAATTGGATCATGAGGTGTTCATGAAGCTGCCTCCTGGCTGCGAGTCGATGTCAGGAAAGGCCGTCCGTTTAGACAAGAGCTTGTATGGACTGAGGCAGGCATCTAGAACATTTCACAAGAGACTAGTGTCGGACCTGAAGACAATTGGTTTTGAGCAGTCTCTGTCTGACCCGTGTGTTCTCCGTTTCATAATGGGGGACGAGATGATGGATATGATCGCGATTCATGTGGATGACATTCTGTATGGAGGAATTGAAAGCCTTGCCACGACAGTTGTGCAAGCGCTAGGTGACTCTTTTCGCACGAAGAATTTGGGCGAGGTCAAGTTCTTTCTTGGTTGCGCATTTAATCGCGACCGCGAGGCTCGCACGATTGAGATGTCTCAAGTGAGTTGCGTCAGGCGTGTTCTCGAGAGATTCAATATTTGTCGCACCAGCCCGATCCCTGCTTCCCCTGCTAGTGATTACAGGTCCGTGACGGAGGAGGAGAAGGCAGGGGATTTGCCGTTCCGAGAGGTGGCGGGGAGCCTGATGTGGATCGCCAACCAGACGAGGCCCGACATCTCAAATGCTGTGCGGGTGGTGGCGAGGCACTCTCGCAAGCCAAAGAAAAGCCACTGGAAGGCGGACCAGAAGATTCTGAATTATCTTATGGAGACGACTTTGAAGTACAAGCAGGACACGATGGTAGACGTAGGCACGTTGGTGTACGTAGATGCAGACTTCGCCAAGAAGGCCACTGACCGTAGATCGGTTTTGGGAGCACTAGTTCTTGTAGCTGACTGTCTTGTTGCTTGGATTTCTAGGACGCAGAAATGTGTCACACTTTCAACAACTGAAGCAGAGTATGTTGCGATGGGTGACGGTGTAAAAGGGGCTCTGTTTGTCCGGAATGCCCGAGTTCTTGAGATAGAATTGGTAAGATTCAGGTACGAGAGGACAACGAAGGTGCGATTGCACTTGCTGAGAATCCACTTAGATCGTGTAACAGTAGTCAGCACATTGACGTGAGGCACAACTTTCTTAGGAATTTGACAGAGAATGGAGTGTTGGAAATCAGAGATGTTTCTCGCGAAGGACAGCATGTGGGTATTCTGATGAAGGCTCTGCCGAGAGTTCTTTTTGATTCATCGTAATGTTGCTCTAGGCTCGAGATCTGAGATGTAGACGTGTTCGTAAACTCGTGGCTTCTGGGAAAAGATGTTGTATTGATGAGACCTTGGACCAGGAGAACAGGTCAACAGGTGAAGTGAGCGAGGGTGTGGGGCCAGCACCGCAGCACCGCAGCACCGCAGCACCGCAGCACCGCAACACCACCCATGGCGCTTGACCAACGCACAAAAACAGAACACAATGCCGGAACACAATGATATCGGAGCGCAAAGACTCAACAGGTGCTAGCGCACTTCACAACATACCATGAATCCTCTGGCGGATGCACTACAGTAGGGGGCCCTCTATAGTGCCGGTATGTGTTCAGAGAGCAAAGTGGCACTATACCGGGCACCGGCACTATTCAGAGTACAGAAAGACTTGATATTCCGGTGTGTGCGAGCCGAAAACACCGGCACTATACCGGCAACCGGCACTATTCAACCGGCACTATATCGGGCCACCCACTGTATCCACTGCAGTGCTGCGCGTAGCAAAAAAAAAAAGTTGGACGTACGTAAGTGCCAATTCGCACTCTGCGGTGCTGTACACGCACACAGCAGAGCCACCCCTCAAAGATGAAGCGCGAGGGCAATAGATGTCTCCAATAGCTAGCGACGGACCCAAGAAGTACGAAATTCCATACACCACAGCGCTAGAACTCAGCAGTGAAAGACCCCAAGTCGGCCCCCCAAAAAAATGGAAAAGCATTCGAGCCCTCAAAGACGGGCGGAACCTCGAGCGAGCCGACGGCACATCCATTGTGAACATGAGNGCAACCGGCACTATTCAACCGGCACTATATCGGGCCACCCACTGTATCCACAACAGTGCTGCGCGTAGCAAAAAAAAAAAGTTGGACGTACGTAAGTGCCAATTCGCACTCTGCGGTGCTGTACACGCACACAGCAGAGCCACCCCTCAAAGATGAAGCGCGAGGGCAATAGATGTCTCCAATAGCTAGCGACGGACCCAAGAAGTACGAAATTCCATACACCACAGCGCTAGAACTCAGCAGTGAAAGACCCCAAGTCGGCCCCCCAAAAAAATGGAAAAGCATTCGAGCCCTCAAAGACGGGCGGAACCTCGAGCGAGCCGACGGCACATCCATTGTGAACATGAGAACGCGCTGCATACGTTGCCAATTGGCACGAAACTTGGCACAAATGCGAACTGTTGGGTAGAGAGAAAGATGACAAAACTCTTGGAGTGATTCGTCACGTGCAGGTGGTGGGGAGGACAGATTTGGTTGAAAAATGACATCCACACGGTGGCGTCATGCTTAGGTGTCTCAAGCCTGTCTCCGCAGGATGTCTCGCATCTTGTAGCTGCCTTCTCTTGCGGATGAATAGCACTTTGAATTAGGTTCTTTATGCTGTAGAGGTTGAGTACGTGTAATCGGTGCGTACCCTTTTGAACCGGAACCCAACTGCTGTACGGTGTTGTTGCACCGCGAAACTGCGGCACAACAAAGCAGAGAGCCCGTTCCTCACTTCTCTTTCGCGATCATCATTTTTGTTCACCGCGTTCTGGTTGGAGTAAAGAGACAAAAAAAAACTATCGAAAAGTGATTTTTGATCCCTGGGCACAAAGGCAAGCATCCCAGCAAAGAGGGCTAATGGTGGAGGTGCCACCTATCTATCCAGCTCGTGCGGTTTCCACCCACCTCACCCGAGCACAACCTCTCCCCACACCCCACACGAGCACACGCCATATCCGGAGGATGCGGTCGATGGCCGCCTTGTTGTCGGTGAAGTTTTTTGTTCTCCCTAGTTGGATGAACACGTACCGGCCGTCGAGAGTAGCTCTCTCCTCGGGCATTAGATCCTGTGTCGAAAAACGTGGTTGCGTAAGCGTATTTTTAGAGCAGAAAATTCGAAGGGACGGAGGGACTAAGAAAGTCAGAATAACGTTAGCTTCGCCTCAACCATGGCCTTCACATCAGCAATCCTTCAAACGACCAAGAGCAACCCAACAATAATTCAAGTTGAGCGATACAAAAATCAGCACCTTCCATTGTTTTGATTGCTCACCCCCCAAAAAAACATACAGCAAGCAAGCGTTGCAAGGTGTCTACTTTTTCTTCTGTGACGGTCCCGCGTTTCCTGCATTATTCTCAAAGGGTACAAACGTTTTGGGAAAATGACGACTCACATCCTAACGGAAAGGTTGCCTTACAGCACCACACCACACCACACCACACCACACCAACCAACCTTTCGGAGTTGAGCCTCCACACACCACAGCGGCCCGTCCGGTGTCGAACCTGACGACGCGCTCTCGTAAACGGCACGTCGGAGCTGTGACTGGAAGGACTCGAACCGCCGCTCGCCCCCCTGCGCATTTGGCCTCTTCATCACGTCGTCCAAGGTCAGGAGGCTATACCGCTTCAACCTCGAGGCGTCTTCGAGTTTGCCCACCGACCCCCCCACCGTGACGGCCGAAGCCGCGATCGTCGACAGATGAGGCCCCCCCTGGCTAACTCCAACCACGGGTTTCATGTCACAGTTGTCGAACGGAAACGCACCACAGGTGGCATCCTTCGAAAGCTTATCGCCGTCCTTCGCGACCTTGGTTTTGAAATCCTCTCGATGCCGTACTTGCGAATCCGTCGCCCACATGCCATGGGCCGCGCAGAAGTCGACCACCACCCGAGGGGTACCTTTCGACTTGGCCCACTGAGCCGCTTTGATATGATGCGAAGCCATGTACCGTGGGCCTAAAACGGGTTTACCACGCCCTTGCATATCATCACAAGCCGCCGACCTACAGACCGAAAATGACGGTTGGCCTTGTCGATCTCCTCAGCGTCTTTTTCAGAAGTAGGTTGTACAGACGGCCCCCGCCCCTCGACGGAGGTACCGAGAGATGATGCCTGGCCTCTGTCGACTCCGCTCGTGTCTGCCCGTCTCGACTCGACGCCTCCGTCGCCGTTGTCGCGACGCCGATGGACATCGCGCCACCCGGCCTCCCACATCCAGCCAGGTCCCCAACCCGTGGAGGTTAGGGAGCTGACTTCGCGGCACAAAGGCAGGTTTATTAACCTCTGGAAAAACCCTACTGTGGTCGGGGGCAGGGCGGCTGGTGTCTCGGGAGCTGATTCTACAGTTGTTGCTAGCTCCTGGACATAGTTGTGCTTCGCTCCACTAGAGAGTACGTTCTTGAGGCTTGACTGCTGCTCGATGTCTGTCCGGACCATCGCCCCTGCTGCCTTGGCCACCGCCATCCTCGCGTGCCTATCCGCGACGTCCTCGATCACCCGCTCCAGCTCTCCGTCAAGATGCGACTCTCGCCCCTCCGAGGCGTCGGGCTCGTGCGCGGCGGGGTCTCTCCTCTTCCGAGCCTGGACGACGTGCCCAACGACAACCTCATCCCGAAGGTTGCGTGGGAAGAGACCGAGATGTCTCTCGCGTGCGTGCTCGCCCCCATGGTTTCCTTTTTCGGGACAGACCACCCGCGATATACTCCCGGGAGAATCGGCGATGCTGTTGAACATCGTACGCACGATCTTTCGTGTGTACGGCATACAAACGTCTTTATCGCCAGCCCTCGCGCGTTCAGCTGATAGCCACCCCGCCGCGTCCTTCCAGTACACGATCTCCCCCTGCCCAACCGCTTCCTCCGCCCTAGAACGCACCTTTTCCACGGCTCTTCGATCCACCACCGCTTGGCCAGAGACTTCAACAGCGCTTGGGGGCCATTGTTGGAGTATCGCGGGCGCACCAGCCACTTCGGCCATGCGGCCGGTTGTCTCTTGCAACGACGTGAGGGCGATGACAGGCTCGGTTCCACTTTCGACTTGCGGTTGAGATGAGTTGGTACTTGCCGGCACATATTGTCCACTACCACCTGCCTCCTGCGACGCCGAGGTGACAGGAACAACATCAGGTACGCTACCGGATGTGGTTGGCGACGAGGTGGTGCGAGCGACGACATCGGGTCGACTACCGGCTGGCGTTTGCGATGCTGACGTGGACCTCCTGTTCTGATCCCGCATATAGCAGGCGTGGCAACGCAAGGAAGTCTCACGCGAGGACCCCCCCCGGTCCTTGTCGTCTACCGCGGGGTGCCTTCTCCTTCCCTTGACCGGGAAAGTTTGCTTGGACTCGTCGCACTTCCTCTTCAACCTCGTCCTGGCGCCCTGAACAACGAAGTGGTGGAAGCAGTCTTCGCGTTGGCAAAGGCAATGACTACAGTCCGGATGATACCCATGCACGACGCTCCCGGGTAGAGTCGTCATTCTGGCGCAGATATCTCTAGCCGTAGAAATGCGACTGACGATGTGCGTGAAGCCCTTCTCATCTGCCGACCTGTGACATGCAGCACACAGTTTCTCTCCTGCCAAATGCTCCCCCCGTGGGCACAGATTGCATGGCTCGCCGGGAGTGGTGGTGACCCAACCGCATTCCTGGCGCCCGCAGGCCTTTGCGCGTGGCTTCCTTTCTCTGTTGCTTCCGTCACTACCGGAAACTGCTCGTGGTCTCTTCCCATGTTGAACTCGCCGCCGAGAACGAATTCCCGGGGTAGTGCTCGCCGTTTTTTCACGCTCAGCCTCGGCGATCTCACGTTCCTTGCGGACCTTCGCTTCCGCCTTTGCCACCGACTGCTGCTCCTTGTAGTCCATATCTGCAATCCTCTGCTGCAACTGTGGTTGTAGTAGAGCCAAAGAACGTCTGGCCTTAACCCTCGCCTGACACTTCTTCCCTGATCTTCGCCCCGAACCTTTCGACCGCGCGCCTGAATCTTGCGCGTGGCGCTTCGCTCTACTTGGCCTCGGTGTCTGTACTTCCCCCCAAGCGTTCCCGCGACGTCGCGTTCCCCNGCCGTTTTTTCACGCTCAGCCTCGGCGATCTCACGTTCCTTGCGGACCTTCGCTTCCGCCTTTGCCACCGACTGCTGCTCCTTGTAGTCCATATCTGCAATCCTCTGCTGCAACTGTGGTTGTAGTAGAGCCAAAGAACGTCTGGCCTTAACCCTCGCCTGACACTTCTTCCCTGATCTTCGCCCCGAACCTTTCGACCGCGCGCCTGAATCTTGCGCGTGGCGCTTCGCTCTACTTGGCCTCGGTGTCTGTACTTCCCCCCAAGCGTTCCCGCGACGTCGCGTTCCCCCTTCGTTGCCTCTCGCAGCAGTTGGAGAGGATGGGTCCTCCGTCCGCTGGCCAGCGGCCGGATGCCGCGGGGACACGGGCGGTGTGTAACCCCTCACCGCCGGGGGGAACAGAACAGGGGGGTGCAGCGCACCACGTCTTCTGTCCCGGTTAGCCATGGGTCTGCGTGACTGCAGGCGATCATGAAACCACCCTGAAATCGAGGTAGGGTATCGTTACGCAAAAGAAACGACAATTGGTTAGTGGTCAGTCTCCAAGCTCGTAAAGCACCGGTGCTCTTCTTCGTGGTGCCGCCTCGAACTCTCGGTGGCAGTTAACAGATCAACATGTTCAATTCTAGTGTTTTCCTTTGACATGTGGCCAGGACGAACGAGTACGCCGAACCACACATATGACGAAACGTGGGTGGCAGTAGCATTCAAAACGGATCGAATACTGGACTTGGAAGATTGGGCATCGTTTCGTAGTATGCTAGTGCGCCAGATGCAACACGCACTAATATTATGGTTTTGCGTTGTTGGGGCCTGCTTGCGATGTGCATCGCGCCAGACCGCGCAGGTGCGTGCGGATGATTACCAACACATGGGTAGGATCCACCGTGGGCATTTCGAGGTTTGGACTTGTGATGCTTTGGTGTCTCTCACCCAAATGAAGTAATTACTTTTGCAATAGGTGGGCATGCGAGCTGAGTTTGTCTCTCAATCAATGTTTAGTTGTGGCCTGTCGACGTTATGTGCATGCACCCACGGCCGTACACACTTGTGCCCGTGATTGCTGGCCATCACCCGCGGGATCCAACAACAAGCTTTGAATTTGACCTCGTCATTATCATGTGTCTCTGTACCAAATGAACTAATTCCTCTCGTAATAGGTGGGTACATGAGGTTTAGGAGATACAACAATCGAGGTTTCGTTGCATCATGCCAACCTCGTGAAAGTGCACCCACCGCCGTGCACACGCGTGACTACGGATGCTGCCACCATCCACGGGATCCAGCAACAAATTTGAGTTTTGACCTCGTCCTGCTTAAATGTCTCTGGACCAAATGAAGCCATTCTTTTTGCAATAGATAGGTTTGTAACCTGAGTACATGGCACAACCCTAATGTGGCTGTATTGAGCCGGAGTCATGAAGAGACTGGGGTGTTACTGCTGTTGGGTACGTGATGTCGGTGGCTCTCGTCTGGCGGTACGCCCAGAGTATATTCCGGATATAAACTGCTACGCGGCATAACTGGTCCAAAGAGCCTCGCCACCTTCTAGTGTATGAGTAACCCAGTGTATCTTTGTCGGAAATTGGACGCCTACGCTCCTGCTTCGCCCTATGTCGACGTTGATGTACGGTGAGCACTGCGCGGATCTCGCCGCTTGCTTGGCAGGGTTTCCAGGGGGAGGACACGTTTCCGTTGTAGGCCTCGTTTTCAATACATAGATATGTATATTTTTGCTGCGCGCAGTACTGACAAAGAACACACTCGCGGCAATGCACCATCCACGAGGAATATTCCTACAGAACGTTCCTCGCTGTTACGATAATATGTGGCTACTCAGCGATCTGCAGCGCCGACAGTCCCGCAATACAAACTGTCCAATCAAGTTGTTCTAAGTTACTCTGAGGACACACACAGCAGCAACTATCACGAACATTTCATGCCTATCTCCTGCCGGCCTCTCTGTGATTGTGGAGAACAACGCCTTCCGGCGACGGCCCGAATATGTGAGGCCTTCAACGCTGGCATGAGGGTCGAACAGGATCCTCAGCAAGGGAACGAACTCGCAGCTGCTGCAAGTAAGGACGGGAGAGGTGGTGATGGCGACACCGCGGGACTCCGTGCAGATCCAGCTGATGGGTGAGGCATCCAGGTTCAACGCGCAAAACCAACAGCTTTGTACCAAGACCTTGAGACTGCGATTCTCCCAATGACGACCCTTAATCTTCTGCAGCAGGCGCCACCGTAGCTCGGTGTACCCTTCGCGGTGACGAACATCGCGGTGAATGTCGCGTTCGAATCGGTTGTTAAGGCACGCCGTGAGGCGATACCGGTCAAGATCACGGTGTATGGAAGGGATATAACTTGAAGCGACCGACGTCCCGGTGAGAATCATGAAATTACCCTAGATCTTGCCAACATGCGCGCGCACTCGAGGGGGGCAGCTAGGGTTATCGTGACGGCCGAGCTGTCCTACTGTTCCTGCGAGGGGTTCGCCTCTGGCAATAAAACGCGAATTTCGCGAAGATTCTACCGTACCAACGCAGTCACGGCATTATTTACCCATGTGCGCGCTATAATCCGCCCGGATTCGACAGCGAAGCGTGGCCGTTGGGTTGACAACGAAGACAAATCAGTACCCCCTCGCCTACCTCACCCCTCAGCCGTTTAGCAGGCCCAGGCGCTCAAGACGTTGCTTCAGAATCCGTCGACAGCCGCCTTTCAACCCCGCGAAGACCGGCCAGTACAGCTCGCAAGCGACGCCTTCCAACCGCCGGCTCGAGCAAGAGCTCCAGAGACGATCCGTCTGACGGAAGGAGCAGCGACCGCAGCAGCAGCACCGTCACGAAGAGCAGCAAAGGCAGGGCCGGCGTGAAGACGCCCTTCGACATGGCCAAGCACGTTTTCCACCTGCTCTTTCTAGAGGTGGACTTGGACCGGTCCGGATGCATCGACAGCAAGGAGTTCGGGGAGATGCTGCTACAGCTGGGGAAGAACGTCGGGCCCGACGTCGCGCGCCACTGTGTCGTCAGGTACATGCGGTAGAAGGGCGTCGCGCGCGCGTACCGCCTAGGGCTAGGGGCACACGCGTTCGACTTCCGAGGGTTGCTTGCTGCGCAAGTTGTCAAAAGCGTTACCATTTCTCGTTGAGAGTTGGTCGCCAGTACAGTCGTGGTTCTGGTCTAATTACGGTTGAATAATGTTGGTTGCCCTGTATATTGTTGCCGGTGAAATCGCGTGACACGGATGTGACACGGATGGAATGCTCTAATTGTTTCAAGCGCTGAATCATGCCGGTTGACCGCCAAAATTCCGGTTCAAAGGGGCTGGCACCTACCGTACAGTACCGGCATATTACCGGGACCACTACAACACTGTGAGTGAAAACCCCGCCAGGTGTAGAGCTGTATGCATGCTCGCCCCATTTCGAGCGCCGCCGTCGTCGTGAGAGACAGGCGTGAATAGAGGCGGATAGGTGCAGTACTTGGTCCCACCTCTCCGCTCCCCCGAAGGCCACGATCGCCTCGTAGATTAAGTTCTCCAATGAGGTGGTCTCTTTCCTCCAAGACACGTACTCTACCTTTGGGCGTCGGAAGGGGCGGTCGTCCTTTGTGTTCGGTTCTCTGTCTTCGTGACATGAAGCTGGAGCCTCTGACCCCCAAACTGCCGACCACTTTGGCCCAGCTGGCAACGCGACGAACGCGCCTCGCCGATAGCGTAACCACCTCAAGCACTTCTGTTGCCGCTCGTAGCAGCTACGACATCGACCGAAGCAACACCATCGAAGCCGACGAGTTCGTCGATTTCATGACCCACGAGTTCCTTGCGCCGGCCCTGCCTTCTCCCGGAGTGCTCTGCGAGACCTCGGGCAACCGTGCGTGGACCATCCCCAGGTGAGAGAAACGCGCGCCCGCGTGGCCGGCGATCGGTCGGTGAAACCATCGCGCCATCGTGTCCATTTGGCTCGGGGGTGAGCAAAGAACAATAAACCGTCTTAGGAGCTTCAACTCCGAAGACATTCATGTCCACCGGGGAAAAGCGGTACATCACCCCCATTTTTCAGCTTGATAACAAGCCTCTATGTTAGAAATTGGGAACGTTCTTGGTTGCCAGATTGTTCCAAACTGCATGTTAATCGTGTTGACGGCGGGTTGCGTCACAGGACAAGACAATCTCCGCGTTCGAGACTCGCCTTCACCCCCCGCTGCACTCTAGCCTTGATTCTTGCCACCCCTACCGTTGCTGTGTTCAGGGAGGGCCGGTTGCGGATGACGGTTTTGGCGGACTACGTTGCCCCCGCTCCTATCGAAGTGGCTTCTCAGGAAGCTGTCGACTCACTCATCTCCAACATCAGATACTCCGCAAAGACAGAGCAAGACAGGCTGGAGATGTTTCAGCTAGCGACGGAGGTAAGAGGTGTTCCGCTCCGAAACACGGAGGGGGGCTGCGTTAAACGTCAACAAACAGGAGCGGTTGACGTTAGTCTCAGAATCATTGTGCTAATACACACGGCAGGATCGTAGCGCCTGGGAAAATGTTGGGCTTGCTACGATCTGAGGCGCTGTTCGCTTCCGTAGAGTATGTTGTTGGGTTCACCCCTTGCCCACCTCTCCTTGTTTGCTTCCAAGGGCACCGACTTCTACATGACAAGTTTCAACGCCCAGGCTTTGATAGACGAGTGGAACAACGGCATGAATCTCGTCGACATTCTGAAGATATTACTGCCACAGGTTAGGGCGAACGCTGTGCCGTTGCGCAAGAGTCATAAAAGAGCGCTTCGTGTGCAATGATGCAGAAGACTGTATCATGAAAACGTATGTATGAAAGACACCGCAGGCCTCCCTGTGTGGACCGCCATGAATTTTTTGCATCGCTTATTTTCCTACTTTGCGTTTTTTTTTGTGCTCTCGGAAACCAGCGTTTCAATGGGCTCACCTATCTGCAATACAGTACAGTGCACGACCAACGCCCAACGGCAGTTGTCATGTCGCATTGCTTTCCACTTTGCCTTCCGACAGTAGTGACGATTCGTCGAATACAACGGTAATTAATCGTTTGTGTGACGCTTGGAAGGGGTCGAAAGCGGCAACGCAAGCTGTTCTGCTGCACCTCGTGTGTTCTGGATGTCTCCAGATGTCGTCAGATCGGAACGTGGTGTCTCTTATCGAGAACAACTTAACCTACGCGCAGAAGCTGGAGCTGAGGAGCAAACTTGGCCAGGTACCGGACACCCGAAGTAGCACCGGTCACATCCTGGGACGACATTTCTTCTTTGCCCTGAGAAAAGCATCGTTTGTGACCCTTGTCGAGTAGGAAACACTGCTGACTCGCACATTCGAAAACGTTGGAGTAAATCGCATTTGGCGATAACCCCGAGAAGACCGTCATCCCGATGGCGAGGTATGTTATCGCTGGGGTTCACATTTCCGCTGCGCATGGTGGTTTGACGAAGACGACAGAAAGTCCTTGTTTGTCGCATTCGCTGCCGTTGTCTACGTTTGGCCATCGGCTGGCAACTGGCGACGGCCATATCGGCAAGAATGAATTATCCCCCAAGCAATATCTGCCTCAAAAAGACTAACACCCTCGTCTCTCTCCCTGCCCTGCCGCCATCGTCGCCTCATTCTTCCCTTCCCTTCTGTCCTTCATGCGAAGTATACCCTTTTACGGCTGACCTTGTCAACCATATTGCTTGGCCGCACGATCCCTCTCTCAGACAACTACACTCGTGCCACGACCACGCTACCACGTCTGTTTCTCGTTACAACACAAAGCTAACACGCACCGGTTCGGCCGACATCACGCATGTAGGCCTGGGGCCCTCTCGTGGGCAACGACGGGCAGGTATTGCCTAGATACGTCGGACAGGAAGCACCTTGTCGCTGCGAAGCGGCTGGCCATGATCAACCACGCGGAAAAGGGCCACGGGATCTCGGGAGCGGCGGGAAGGCATGACACAAGCCAGGTGCGCTCTTGTTCGCTCTATATTGTGTAGTGGCCACGTGCTTCGGATGAGCTCCCTTGAACGCGCACACGCATAGCTTCGGGCTACTCTTGACACTAGGCGCTGACAAATCAGGCGCCGATAAACAGCAACAATATTGCGAGTCTGGTCACTTGAGTGTTTGATCACAGCGGGACATCCGCAGGGGACCATCTGATTCTCCACCTTTGACGCAACCCACTTTTCTATTTTATATGGTGATCGTGGTCGCTTCGCGTATTTGAAACTTGCTGCGCACCGACGCCCGTGGGTCACGGTTCAAGACCAGCGACTAGGTATCACAGGTACCCAAGGAACGACCGCACTAAGACAGGGTATATGAGCACAACAGCCGATACAGCGAAGGTCCCATGCATAACCTCGGAGGGGGGCACGAAGCGCATTCATGTGGACTCAATGCAACCAGTCGCTCTCAGGTCAATCGATGGGCAAAATCTGCCATCTGGCTCGAACCGGCCACCACCGACAGACTTGGTATTGGTACTTGCCTGTCTGAATCCAAGCCTTTGGAGAGGAACCCGCAGAAACAAACTCCGTGGGTGATGACCCGCTTGCTTGTGACACGAGCATTAAAAAGTGTTGCCGCAGACCGACCAATCAACCATATTGTGCGATTGGTTGTACCCATCAGACTTTCCACGAGTCATACAGCAGTATCAGTTGTTCTGTTAAAACACCACCCCCGCGTGGCCTTGCCAGTCTGTCCGCCTGCATGTAGGCCTGTCCTCCATCGGCCGTTTTGCTTGTATGACGGAGAATAAGAAGGTGGAATTACTTGAAATTAGTATAGAAATAAGGTTTGTGTATCTTAGTCGAAAATAAAACGGCCGATGATGGAGGACAGGCCTACCTGCATGGTTCTTCGCCTCTCACCTCCACCCCCGCCGACTTTATCATTTCCCCGCACCTTCTTCGACCTTCGATTTCCCTTTCCCACCGCATTTTTGATTGCGTATTGGCACCCCCACGTATCTGGCAGAGGGGCTACAAGCTGGTCCAGCCAAGAAACCAACTTGCGTTCGTTACGCCATAGGTTATCGAGGAAAAAGAATTGAGCCGCGTTCGGCATATCCCCCGAATCGCCCAACCAAGGCGGGTACGCACGTGTTAGCAAACAGCTGATTGTCGCAGTTCTCTCAAAACGGAAGATATCACCCCCAATTCATATAGGTTTTAGAGGCGTTCAAAAAAAGTTGAAACGTTTTTTTTTTGGTAGGGATTTTTGAAAAAATATCACAGCAGCAGCACACATTGCTGTTGCGCAGCACCGTGCAGAGAGCGACAGCATGGCTTCCAGCCGCTTCCCCGCAGCCACAGACCAGTGGGAGAAGACGTCCATGCCCGTGTGCTATCCAGAGAAGGACACTGGCAAGTGGCGGTTGTTCCTCAACTTCACAAAGCGGAAGGGAGACAAGGCGAAAAGACAGCAGAGTTCAAGGTTTGCTCTCGAGAGGCAGCGCTCGCCGGCGTCTTGGACTTCAGGACAGGCTGGGAGTACAGCCATCACGGCAAGCTCTACAAGCGCACGATGAGAGATCCAGTCCCATCCTCAGCAGCTGTGGCGGCAGCGGCTGCGCTTCCAGCAGGCAAGTCGTAAATTGGGTAAACACACAATCATGTTCCTCAATATTCAAATCGGTGCGCTGTTCGTGGCAGCAGGCTGGGAACATCGCGAGTGGTCGAAAGCGCACGCTGCATGCGTACACTACAGCAGGCTTTGCTGCGCGTGGCACTCGCTCTCGTTGTTGCCTGCTGTAAGCAAGGGAGGGGGAGTAACATATCTGGAAGCTTGCAACGAGTGCCACCGCTTGTGAGAGGTTGCTGGTGTCCAAACCTTGATTTTTTTACAAATTTCGCAACTATGGATGTCCTCTACTCTGGGTGAGTGGAGAGTCCAGGGTTGTGGTGGCTATGTC